CATCTGTGATAATCTACCTTATTCCAGGTGAACTGTATTAGTTTCTGCTATACCCAATAAAGTAGGTTCTATGGTCTAAGTTATGTGTATGTCTTTGACAAGCTGATCTGCTTCACTTCACTAATCATAAATATCTCAGGTGTTGTTTTCCATTGAGTTCAAGTTCACGCAAGGCACAAAACACCGGGTAGCTGACGCTGATAGCTCACTGACAGGTTCTGTGTAGTAGCCTTGTTAGCAATAACAGGTAAGATCGTTAGCAGTAAACAGAGGCGGTGTTTTACCTTTGAATACTCCTGTGCCAGTTTGCTGTATTTTGTCTGCAGGTCTGTAACGTTAGCCATGGCGACGCTATCTAGTCGCCAACCGGTGATGCTAGGAAACGTTAAACTTCAGTAGCCGGACTGGCCAAAGGCTGTCCGGTTAGCTTAGTATGTAGTTCACGGTGTCAGTTACTTGCAAGGTTGACGTCGGAGACGGTGAGCTGTAACCTGGCTAACTCAGGTCGGTTAGCCCACTGGTAAAATTTCTTAATCCAACAAGGCTTCTTCCGCTACCTGTGAGAACTGAACTCGGGTACATTATGACAGTAGGTCTGTCATCAGTCCCGGAAAATAAAACGGACAGTGGTCAACAGTTCATTTCCCAAAACACGTGTTTATTCCGATCTAACAGTAATGTCCCCTTTTTTTTTCAAGTTAGCACCAGTAACGCCGACAGAGCCTGTTAGCTAAGCGAAGCGAAGAGGCTATGTAGCAAAACAAACCCCGACGAGGAGCGACACATGTATGTGGTTTTATCCGACAGGAGCCGGTGACCCGCGGCGTCCGCAAATCCTATTAGAGAGTAAAGGTAGCGGCTGCTCGGCTAGCAAAACAGCCCTAAATCCCCATTCATTTGAAGGAATACTTTCATTTTCTAGCTAACCCGCAAAATCCTCCTGAAGTCTGAGCCAACAAGAGAGGCGAGCACCGAGGTCAAAGTGCAGAAAACAGAGAAGAAGGGAGAAGGAGAAAGCAGGGCGCCACCTAGCGTTTGAAGAGATAGATAGCTAGATAGATAGTTATCATTTACTTACTGTCATTTAAATTGTAGCACACTGTATTGTTATTTTTTCTTTTCTTTTTGTTATGAAGTATATATTTGAATGACTTTTAATTTGATTATAGCTCTTCAAAGATTTTCTCAGTCATTTCACACTCCATTGATTAAACTAGACTTCTATAGTGAAAAGTATTGATGACGAAGGAGCATGCAGGCAAATGAATTAGTTGTACTTCCTGACCTTACTTCCTGTCAGCTCGCAAAATGACTGTGAACCAGTTGACATCAACAATGCATCAGTATGTTTTTTTTGGGTGTCTTAAAAAGTAATTAGCTGGTGCAGCAGCTTTTTAAATTATGTTTAGCAAGCAAAGTGAAAAAAAGTGGTGCTGGAAAGAGGAAGGAGACAGAGAACAGAATCAGCATACTGCCAGTTCTTTGGCTATCAGCAGCTGATCACATAACCCAAATGATGAAACTGTATTTGGCGTTTTTGTAAAGGACTAAAATATTGTTACTTCTCAAACATTGAAATGAGATACTCTTACTATAATACTGTGTGTGTGGCATGTCTGGAAGTTGGTCCTCTGAAAATGATGAGGAATTCTAGAAATGAGTCTCCCAATCCAATCAGTTTGTGAAGACCTGTGGCTAATGGGCTTGTCTTCTTTGTTCTGTGCTTATATACAGAGTTGTCGTTATGTTACTTTACCAACCCGTTTAAATCTGATTGGGGTGTGTGGTAGTCTAGTTGAGAAAGATGGTGTGAGTTTATAGCAAAAATATCTGCCCTGGAGCTAGCACAGGGTTGTTACACCTATGTAGGTAGGTAGATGTAGTATGTTTAAACCACCTTTCTCTTCAATTCAATTCTGCTTATATAGTGCCAAACCACAGCAACAATTGTCTTAAAGCTCTTTATGTTGTAAAGTAGAGACCGTACAATAATACAGAGAAATCCCCAACAATCAGACAAACCCATATGAAGAAGCAGTTGGTGACAGTGAGAACAAAAACTCCCTTGTAACAGGAAGAGACCTCGGTCAGAAACAGTAGAGGGGCAGCCATGTATAGCAACTGGCTGGGGTGATGGAAGGAAGACAGGACAAAAGACACGCTGTGGAAGAGAGCCAGAGTTTAATAATAACTAATGATTAAATTCAGAATGGTGTATAACTGTAAGCTTTCATTTATAAGGGTACAAATGTGTATTTAAGTGTATTTTCTTTTTAAATATCATTTATTTCAATAGGATACATTTCCTTTCTCCCTACAGTAGCCTACACACAGACACTTTCCATTATTAACCCTTGTGTGGTTTTCGTATTTTTGTTACTCAGCCAGTGTTCATGGGTCTGGTGGACCCGCTAGAGTTTTGGCTTTCCAAATTAACACTATCAAACAATTTTATGTTAAATTACTCAATAGATGTTTACTTCATCCCAATTACAAGACATATGAACAGCAAACATGGTAAATTTTTTCCCTTTACCTTTGTTAGATCACATTTATGAATTAATGTGCTTCTCGTTTTTCTTTTATATAAAATGTTATAAATAAATCAGTTATAATCAAGTGGAGTGAGTGGAAAGACACAACACATTTACACGTGAAAAAATAATTAATTGTTTAATTTTTCTTTTGAAAAAAACTGAACACGGGTCTCACAGACCCGAACACCATACAAGGGTTAAGACATCCTTTCCTCTCCTCTTAGCTTTCCCATTAGGAGACCTAATGCCATTTACAATAAAAATGATGTGATAAATTATTTACTGCTCGGTTTCGCTTTGTTTTGGTTTTTTCCCAGCTCCGTGTGTGTCGCATTAACAGAAACAAGGTCAGAAATCACAAGCGGGTTGTAGCACTGTCAAGGATGTGATTTCCCCCCTTAAAACGCACATGACCTCATTTAGACTAGAAGTGAAATGACATGTTGCTAATGCACCCATCATTGCGCAAATCCTACACGATTAATTTCACCTAATCCATAATAATCTCTTTTAGATTTTCGGCCGCATACTATTTCTTTATTTTCCTCTGCCGTCGTCTCCACCATCAGTGATCTTAAATGTATGTATACGGCCACAAACACAAACTCTCTCACACGCACACCACACGCACACCACACCACACCACAGCCAGTGGCTCCAGCATTGTCTGGTTGCCTGGCAACTGTCGGCGTGGCGTGGTTGCTAGGGGCGTGTGGGAGAGGGGAAGGGGAGGTGATGCTGCTCTGATTTCCAGCTGAATTGAGGCAGTCAGTAGGGAGAAGTCCCCCCTCCTTCCAATATCCCCATCCCCTCCCCTTCCCCATCGACACACAGGACTCTATTGAACAATAGAGCTGTGCCAGTGGGCCTGAGGCTAGTCAGACAAGCCCTTGTTCAGGGTCACGCTGTGTTCATCCCACAGTCCTCCATGACTAATTAACTTACAGCAAAGAGTGTCGTTAGCACATCTGATGATGCATCCATCACTGGCGCAGCCCTGGAATTTACATTAATGCGAGGTGCACTTCTGGCAGCCGGCCATTTAAAAAAAGAAAAAAGAAAAAAAAAACATGAAGGAGAAGACAGAAAGGGAAAGTGTCATGGTGCTGCCACACTTAGTGCTGAGCAAAGCCTGTGCAGTCAAAAGAAACTGCTGGACTTGGTGGGAAATATCTCCCAGCTGTAGCACTGTTATGTGAAAACCGAGAACCACAGAGTCAAGGATCGCTGATCTTGTGGCTTTCGCAGCAGGTGACAAGATCGATCCAAAAAATTCTTACAGACAAAAAAAGAAAGAAGGACAAAAAGAAAAAAAAAATCAACCAAAAAAACCCACTCAAGTCAAGCCCCATTTTCCACAAAGAAACCAAAAGATGCACACGGCAATAAACAAGAACAGGTTTTTATTAATATTTTTGTAATACCATATATAATGCAATTGCATATCTTTGGCGAAAATAAATCTTATAAACATTTTATCAACAGAGGTTAGCATACAAAAACCAAAAAGGTGTGTCGGTCCAATGGACATGGCAGACAACTGACACAAACTCATACTGGGTTGGCAGCTTTGTCAAATGCAAGAAAAAGAAAATGCTCAGCACACCCATAAGAAATTAGGAAATGCAACAGAATCACATAATTAATATTTAATAACAGCTGTTGAGCAATAAGGGAATTGGGTTTGGAATTGTGCAAGTCCTGGGACCCAGAAATGTTTTGGTAGCTCACCCACAGATCGACTCGACTGGCTCGGTGTCACCTTGAGACAAACATTTCTTTTATTTCTCAAGTGCTACAGAAAGGATGAGGGTGATTTTTTTTAGTCCTTTTATCTCCACCAGCCTCTCCAAAACTTCTCTGCGGCTGTCCCGACACTCAAGAGTAGGTCTGAAAACTACACAGCAGCTGCTTGAAGACTGAGTAACTCAGATCCAGTTTTACAGTGATATTCAAAAACATTCAATAACAAAACCTGGAAGCATGAGTTATGGGGTGGCAGTACTTTTATAAAAGAGTCTTACAGCTAATCTCCAGTTTCTTTGACTACTTAAGTCATAATACCTAAACAAAACCATATGATTAAATGAGCCCAGAAGAACTTGGGGTGCGCATGGGGTGGTGTGTGTGTGTGTGTGTAGGGGGGGGGAAATTGGGTGCATCAATCTTAAATTTATCTACACCCCAGCTGTACATCGATTTGGCAACAGAAAAAGGTTTCAGGATCAATGTTAATTAACTGTTTTCTATCCAACCTAACAAAAAGCAAAACAAAAACATCAAGAAAACCTGGCAGTCATGGTTAAATTGAAAACACACCCGCTCTAAAGACAACAGACATTGGCAAAATACTTAATCACTGTAACAAGACAGGAAAAAAAAAAGGAGGGGGGGAGGGGGAGGAAGGTGTGTTGCTGAAAATAAACAAGGAGAAAAACAAAAATACTTATTAAAGGAAGTTCACAGAATGAAGGGAAAAAAATTACTGTGCCTAGTCATTTATTTTAAATAACCAGTGTCTGATGCGTTCGGGGGAAAAAGTCCCATAAATTAAAGTCATAAATAAGGTGATGATTAATGAACAACAATTTGTTCTTTTTTTTTTCTTTTTCACAGCTAAACAAGACCAGTGTATGCACTCGGTTATCAGCTGAGAACTGCGGCTTAGTCTGCAAAGAGCAGTTCCCACTCAATAGCGACAAATGTAAACCAAAAGATTGGTTATGTCACCGTACTGACCAGAGTCATCGCCCGTTTCCTGATTCAAAAACTCCAGATCACAATTACAGTGTGGCAGTAGGAGGGGTTTATAGATATTAACAAAAAAAACAAAGCAGCCAGTTTGCAGTTTTGCATCAGTGGCACGACAAAATGTTTGGCACCGACCATGCACTCTATACTACCAGTCACACCATGTGATCCAGTACAGGGGGGGGGGATACATTTTCCAGCTTGTTATCCTATCACTCATCTATGCTACTGTTGACTGTACGCTGCTTCTATTTGGGTTTTTTTGTTTGTTTGTTTTTTAAAAAACAGAAAACTGTGGCCTTCTATGCAAGTGGCTCGCAACTTCCCCTCAGAGAACCGCGTGCAATCAACTGACAATAAACACTCCATTTCACAGCTTGAGAAGAGAACGTGCACTTCCTTATTTTGTTCTAGGAGGAAGAGCAAGGACGAAAAACTAGCAGCCAGCCAAAACCGAGGGCACAGCACAGAGCACAAACAAGCGTCTTCAGCATCTCGCCTGCGAGCAACTGCGTGTACAGAGTTGACTTCTTTGTGACTATACTGTCCCCCTTCTTGTTATTTACATTTGGATGCTCTATGCTGTGGGTCTCAGAACAGAAAAAAACCCCAAAACAAAAAACACACACACACCTTCCTTCAAGATGTGAATTAACTTGGCCACAAGATCAGCCAACTCAGAATTACCTGTATAACTTAGTAATTATCTAAAGTACAAGGTATCATAAACAAGGCCAGAGATATAATCAAACTGCAAATCCAAATATTGGCGTGAGACGTGGCGGTCATTTACCATCCGCTCCGTTTTCCCCTTCGCCTCACTATTAGCCAACTCTGCATTCAGAAAGCCCAAAAGCAAGCAGAGCACCGAGCAGCTCTTACAGTACAGCAGTAGCAGGGAGATGTGTCATTACGATAGTACATTATATTCATTGTATTTGTCAGTAGAAGGATTAAAAAAATTTTTAAACTCTTTCTCGTGACTGTCATCCAAGGGTCCAGCTGATGTCGGCATGCACTGTGATACGCACATGTGTACGTGCACACAAAAAAGAAAATTTATGGAGGATAACCTATGAACACGCAGCGAACACCTGGCAAAACAAGGCAGATGTACCCTTTGCATAGGTTGTCGCCAAACATGAGAAAAGATGTCCCATTAACAGTGGATTGGGAAGAAAACAAACGAACAAACACAAACAGAAAGAAAACAGCTGTGCTGCAATGGCCGCGCAAAATCAAGCAAAGTCCTAGCTAACTTTGCAACTCAATTTGGCAGTGGCAGAGTAATACTATATCCACATTTTGCTAATCCTGAAAACGAGACGCGGCTCGCGTGTAGTAAGTTTATCGCATAACAAGATCATAATACTACTCCGTTCATTCGCTTAATTGTAAAGTTTAACTAGCATACTTGACTGATATATGCCACCATGGAATAATGTCAGAAAGTTAAGGTTGAGGATTAATTATTGCATCTCTTTCTTTTTTCTTCTACAAGAGCAGGAACTCCTTTCCAAACAGTGGTAATTTATTTTTCCTTTAGCACAAAACCAACAAAAAAGGAAAAATAAAAGGAGAAAATGTCAACACCAGGAGGTTAGATTTCATCTGTTACAAACATGCACTCGTTCGCTTCATAAATAGATTCACTTGGAAGAGGATACGGGTTTGAAGAGGAAGCATGCAACGCTTTGAGTTATAAAACCAGCTTTCAGCCTTTTTTTTGTTTTATTTATTTTTTTCTTCTTGTGTCACTTTGTCTTTGAGAGGAAACTTCTTGAATCACAGTCCTCTAATCCAACAGAAAGCAGGCAGGTCGTTTTGGATAGGTATCTTGATGGTTCTCCATAAGCCCAAACACCCACCCTCAAAAGTTACCCCCGAGTTAATGTATATGGCTTTGTTCTCCTGTGTGAACGATACTATTGCCATTTGTTTTGTTGGACAGAGATACTCCCAAACAAACAAACCAAAAAAAAAGGAAAAGAGAAAAGGCTCAAAATGGCCAGTGAACGATCAGATTAGGAGAAGGAGGCACACTGGGACACAGGGGGTCAGAGGTTAGGGTTTCACTGGGTCCAGGGTCTTATGGGGGTAAAAGAAAATTCATTTCCTGCTAAGTTTTGTGCTCTTGACAGTGCGTTTGGAGCCCTCCGTGCAGCTGCGTATACCGGCGAGGTGCAGCAAGGAGCCGGCGGCTTCCTTCAGCTCCTCGTCCAGCTCTGGCTTGACTTCACGTCGCGCCCTCTTGCTAAGGGGCCACTTGACGGCGAGCGGACGGCGAGAAGTCTGGTGAATGCCCCTCTCGTCCCAGAGGTCGGAGTCCTCGTCGCTGTGGAAACCCTCGCTGCCGGCGCGGCGAGACTGCCTACGTTCGCAGCCGCCTTCGTCCAGGGAGGAAAGAGAAGATGAGGAGGAGCGAGAGGAGCAGCGTTGCAGGGCTGCGCTGCTGTAGTTGTGGTCCTGTTTTGGATCGCTGCTCACCAAGACAGAGTCGGGCCGAGAGAGGTCCAGAGGGCTGTCAGAATTGCCTGAGGAGAGGATGAAAGCCTGATAAGTGACCGTTCAGTGCATGAGGATGTCTTGTTACAGAGAGATAAATGACTGGTTTGAAATAAGATTTCTGAAAAAAAGAAAAAAAAAAGCGACACCATCATTAAGACACTCGGGGGCTTTAACTTGTTTTGTTTACAAGTTTAAAGCAGAACTAAGATTTGTCTAGGACCAGCAGTGAAAACGTAGTTTTAAAATAGCTTGCTGCATGAATGTGAAAGCAGAATTAAAACTCGTGGGGGGGGACGTAAAAGACGTAGAAACTTAGAAAAAGTAAACATTTAATGATTCTGTGGGAACCTTTGCAAGAGGAAAAATAAACTTTGCATTGAGAAAATAAATCAAAATCTAAACGAGAGATTTGAAAATTAACTGTGATTTCAATAAATACACCTTAACAAATACATGAAATTATTTGTTATGGTATTTTTTGCCCTGTTGAAAGATCAAGCACTAAAATCTCTCCCTAAAGCTGTCTTGCTATACATTTTAAAGAAAAAAAAAAGCCTGAGCTAGAGGTTCAGTTGAGTTAGTTCATTGTTTGTTATAGACAAACAATGAACTAATAACACAAACAGTTGTATGTTGAAGTCTGTAATGTCCAGGTTTCACTCCTATTTATTAAACAGATCCTTTTTCTGTTGTAATGGAAGAATTCTCATCCTCAGCCCACCTCCCCTGGGTCTGTTCTTGATCCTTTTTTATTCCCCATCTACATGCTTCCATTGGGTCAGGTAATCCATAAATAAAGCGTTTTCCCCGTCATGTATGTAGATAATACACAGTTGTTTGTTCTACTAAGTATCAACATAAATACAATCTCAAATCTTAAGAAGTCTCTCTGACGTTAAATCATAGATGTCACAATACAGAAACTATGTTCCCTGTCATTACCTGTAAAATCCAGAATTTAATTTAAAAGCCTTCTACTCACATCTAAAATCTTGAATAATCAGACCTGATTATATCTTAATGACGTCTTAGTACCTTACGATCCTAACAGAGCACTTTGCTCTCAGACTGCTGACTTGCTTGCGTTTGCTATAGTTTCTAAAGAGCCTATGACAGTTTGGGAGACAGACACCATCTCTACTTTTAGGATCAGGCTTGAAACTTTCTCTTTTTTTTTTAAAACTTATAGTTCGGGTTGGATCAGGTGACCCTAGCCCACCTATAGTTATGCTGCAATAGAACCGGGCAGCTGGGGGCTTCCCATGATTCCCATTTGTTTCTTCTTCACTTCCCATTTGTACACCACTATTGCATTTAATCATTCTGAATTATTCAACACTGGCCCTCTTTCCTAGTGCCCTCTGCTCTCTTAATATTGCAGGATCTTTACCTTACAATATAAAGAGCCTTGAAATGACCATTGTGATTTGGTGCTATTTAAATATAAAGTTTGAATTAAAGCGACTTAAATCTGCCCTACAACTTCAAGAATTCCACTCAAAACCTGGTTCTAATGCAAGTTTTCTTTTGACTCACAAATCACCAAAATCCTGCTTTCTACAATTAAGAAACTTTACAAAAGTTTACACATTTTTTTGTTTCCATCTCAAGCGGCCTTTGAAAAAGTCATCCATGCCACCATCTCATCATGTTTAGACTACTGTAATTCCCTCAACTCGGGTCTCAGCCAAAGGTTCATCTCCCGCCCCCAGCTTGTTCAAAATTCAGCTGCCAGATTCTTAACAAAATCAAAGAGACCAGACTACATCACTCCTGTCCTGGCTACACTGCACTGGCTTCCTGTTAGATACTGAATTGATTTTAAAAACTTATTCATTACTTTTAAAGCCTTACCCAGGCTTGCTCCTACCTACATCAGATTTCAACAGACTTTATGAACCAAGCTGCTGGTTATGCTCTTCAGGTCAGAGCCTCCTAACCCGCCCTATAGCCTGCGTCATTTTCTGATTTCCTCTCAGAGTGTTGAACTATTTACCAGAGGAACTTACCAAAATCAGTATATCCAATTTTAAATCACTTCTCAGAACTTATTTTTACAGAAAGCCTTTTTAAAATTTAACAAAAACCCTTATTCTTCATCTACCTTTTCTTTATATACAAATGTTTTTACCTTTTGATTCCTAACTTTAGCCCATCTGAAACACACTGACATGACCTAAAGAGGGCCCTTCAATCAAGACATCTTGGAGATACGGATGAATCCATTTTGCTTCATTGCTAATTTTTCATTACTAAGTGTGTAAAGTGTGAACTACAACTATTTGTGTGGTTTTAGTTTGGTGAGATTTTGTCTGTCTATTACTGCAGCTTAGATGAAGATAAAAACAAACAAACACATTGTCTATCATTAGACAAAGCAGATATTCTGATGATTCAAAGACATTCAAACTTCTTCTTGCAGCTGTGTACATCAGAATTGAACACACACAACATCAAAGAAAATTTAAGCAATGACGGGTGGTATGTCAGGGGTTGGACACAAAGCTAAAAGAAGAGGTGAAAGTATGGCTACTTGTAGGTTGTCTTACATGGGTCAACGTGGTGCCCAGGGGCAGAGTTTAAGAGCATCATGGCAGTGGCAGCATCAATGTCAGACTCTGGAAGAGGAGAGAACATGCACGATGGTCAGTCCTACGGTGTGAAAGCATGGTAGCATGACATCCCTACTAGGACTGGCTTGACTGACTGGGCTCCATTATTTTTAAGCTATACACTCGGCGATCCAATCAGTGCTTACAGAACGCACGGGATATGCAGAGGACTCGCAAAAACAAATCAGAGTAAATATAAGCCCATGATTTTCAGAATGCATCTGATCTCATGAGATCTGACAAAGTGTCTGAAAGCCTCACAGCTCACTTCTAGGGCTCTAAATTATTAATGATTACAGTGAGACTGAGTGCTCCATACTGAGCACCAGCAGAACCTCTGCTTGTCGTCAAGGTTACAAATCCAAGAGGCAAGGGGGGGGGGGGGAAGAGACATCGACGGGAGCTGTCAACATTATGGTCAACATGAGGCATCAATGACTTGAAAGCAACAAATCAAACCAAGAGCTGAGCATAAAAGCACAGTGATGCTGAATGTTCTGGGACTGAAATGTGCAAAGGCAACATAATCAAAACAGTGCACAAACACACGCTAACAAAACTGCACTACACATCTGCACATTGCTGGGCAAACAGCTTACAAATACGAAAACTTTGATCAATTTGCTTTTCTCTCACCTTTAAATGAGCAACCTTGTAGAAAGAGATGACGAGGGGGTGAGGAGGCACTGCAGAAAGTAAACAAAGGACACCAAGAGTCAGATGATACGTTTGAAGAGCCAAATTCTGCCCTTTCAAAACTGTGTTTTTATTAAGAATTAGTTATCAAATAATTACAAATGACTACAAACCTGTTAAGATAAAATATTTCCTCAGCTTAAAAAAAAGGGATTTCAAAGTCAGGAGAAAATAATCAAGGCTGCTCCTTATGGTATACCTCCAAATGTTTCACAATAAAAGCAGAAGATATGGGTTCTGTCTACTAAAATGCTATGGTGGTGTATATGAAACTGTTACATGAAGTGTTTGTACTGTAGCTTCCCAGAAGCGTGAGTATTGGGGAAGTTCTGGGTTTGCAGAAGCTTCTGGGCATTATCATGTTTCTGTCAAAATGAATTGTTCTCAGTTTTTCCCCATTATGTTTACGGTTCAATTGCTCGTCTTATGTGTTAGTTACATTTAGCAAAGCTGTGGCATTGTGACCATAGGGAGGAGCTGGTTTGATATACATACGAGTGTGAGGAGAATAATGCTCTTCTTGTTGTTAAACTAACAACAGAGAGTTTCAAACTGTTGTGCTCCTACCTGTCACGGGTGAGTCATCGCTCACCATGGTACACTAAGTGTATTGCTGTAAGTCTAAAGGAGCTAATGGAAGCATATTGGAGTTGGTATGTGACCAAGTTCACTTTTTCTAATCATACTGAAAGCCAATCGCTAATACAAGCCTGCTCTAAATAAAGTTCAGGTATTTCCTTTTATGTCCAAAACAAATCCCTGCAAAATATATTTGAGACATAATAATTCCCTTGACCATCATAAGCAACAAATTGAATTGAATGATTAAAGTGATGACCGCTCACCTGGGTGGGGAGGCGGGTGGTGTGCAGAAGGCATGTGCGGCTGGGAAGTGCTGCTTCTTAAGAGCTTGAATTAGGTTGGGGCGGTACTCAGGGTCAACACACCAGAGCGACCCTTTTCCATTGGCCTGTAGGACAAAGCAGGGACAGTCAAATCTCTAAACCCCTGTTACAAAGTAATGAAGCTGCCAGAAAGTCCACATAAGAAACTGTGAGCAGAGGTCAGGGGGGAGGTGATCTGTTGATGTTAAACAATAAAAACCCTGTCATATGAGCTTCTTTTCAGAGGATTTAACGATGGCGTCTTATCCTGTTGCCCAAACATTCCCAGTCCCCATGAACTAAGCAAAAGCTGTTACGTCATTTATTTGGTTCAACGCAAGAGAACAAAACTGACAAAAGAAAAGCAGCAGGCAGAACATTATCCTGAAAGAAACACCAAAAATACAGTATGTTCGGTCTGGCTTTCAGAAAAAAAATCCAAATAAATAAATAAAAATCAGAGCGAAAACATGCTATAAACGTTTGTGAGTTAGGTCTTTAGTCAAAATAACATGCTTTGTCACTTTGTACGATTAAATATTTGATCACATGAGTTCAATTAAAACTGTAAGTAATGAACACAATTTTAATTTTGAATCACTGAAGCCTTACAAACAATTTGCATGCAATTCCCACCTCAGCAAATTTTACATAATCATTATTTTAATGGAAGCTTTGTTCATATTTCTGTTTGGTAGCTCACAATCCTTTTCACCGCTTTGCTGCAGAACAGTGTGGCCATATATCCCACATGTGGCTGGTATGTGTATCCTCATGCAAGATGTAAACAAAACAGGGCCCGCAACTAGTGGAGATAATAATCCACAGGGTACCTTTAAAGACTTAATGAGGACTTGAAAATCAATTTGGGTGATCTGTACAGCTGAGTAATTGCACAAAACTACAAATGACAAGATCATCATTTATCAGGGAAAAAAGTCAAGTGTGACTCAAACCTTTTAGAGATTAGTCACTGTGGAAATGCACTTCATTTCCAAATCACTTTTCAATTATAAGCTTCACAGCACCTTTTAGACACAACACGCTCAAATGGCAATATTGAAAAAATGATGAGAATTCCTGAAATGTTTCGCTGTCAGAGCTGGTGGGACTATAGTGACCGCAGCAATGATTCAAATTTCATTACAGTCCCACAGTGAAAAATAGCAAATACCGAACTTTGCAATATAAACGCTTTTACAATGAGAGGAAATTTTTACTCAACAGCTCCCTGTGAAGAATAATTGTATCTGCTGGTGATGTGTGTGTCACTTTATCTGATGGTGGCGTATTCTTGCCCAGTCTGGGAGAATACAGCGAGGAGAATAACCTTGACTCAGATTACCAACCAGCTCTGATGCAGGAAGAAGGAAATGTCTCCATAGCAACGGAAACCACCAGCCAGTGTCATGTGAAACTGGTGCTAGTGTCTCAGCAGACGGAGGGCTCATGCTATGCACCTGCATGCTAAGCGGACTATACTGCATTGTATTGCTACACGCTGAGTGCAAACTGCCATTCCCACCCTAGATGGGCAAATATCAGGTTTTAGCCAGATACAGCCATGACATGGGACTTCAAACCACATCCTCTCACAATGTTAAAATCTCATGATACACAGACTTCTTGGGTGTTTAGAGGGTATTGTGCCACCGCCACTGTTTACCGTTACACAGAAGAATCCAGGAATCTACTTCTCCACACTTTTTACACACACACACACACCCTTTCAGACTAAACCGTAATAACAGCCGTTAGTGAGTAAATTCACAGCTTTACTAACTTTTCAAATTCACAGACATGTGTGCACACTATATGCAGTATGTGTTCTTCCCTTTGTTACAAGCATGTGAACATGAGTAGGCCAGCTTCTCTTTTTTCCCCTTGTTATTTGTCGCCACTACTTGTAGAAACACAAGCTACCATAAATGATGTGTATGTCTGCCAGGACCAGGTAGACAAAGATTGTTCTTTGTGCACTTTCAGGACTTAAGGTCGCGTTTGCTTCCTTTGTGCAGTGTGGGTTCAGATTGTGGGAGGCTTCTCTCTAGCTGCACTACCTTGACGTGTTTCTAAAGATATTGTCCTATCTCGGTGTGCGGTGTTTGCATATCCTCTGGAGGAGGAGGATCTTTGACCTTGACTGGATTCCACCCTTATCATAGCCGAGTCAGAGTTCTGTGCAGCTGTGTGTCACATGAGCCACGTGGCAGCTTCACACTCTAGCACACTGTTTGCTAACAGTGCTAAACAAAGCCACTGTAACTGTAAATGTCACATCATCAAACAGATGCATGCTGACAACTACAGAAGGATAACTGTAAATCTAAGTGACGTGCATAAGAGTTTGAAGTCACTTTGAGACCTACCTTTCCCAAGCTCCTTTCGACCTTGCGGAAGCATTTGTTCAGGGACAAGTTGTGACGAACTGAGTTCTTCCAGCCAGTGGGAGCGTTGGAGAAATACGGGAAGTGCTCGAGTATCCAGCCGTAGATTTCTTTGACAGGCAACGACTTGCTGGGAGACTGCTCGATGGCCATGTAGATGAGCAGGGAAAATGAGAAAGGTGGTTTCGACTTCATCGAATCCCTCTCCCTGCCTCTGTTGTGTGACGAAGATGAGGAGGACGACGGGCCCTGGTTCGACCCGTAGTCTCCTTCTATGTCAAAGAGGGGGCTGCCGCTCGTCTGAGCTTCGGGGCCCCCGAGAGTAAAGTTCTGAAGCAGGTTCTCGTGGAGCCAGTTGAGGTTAGTGAGCTCCTCATCCTCGGTGCCTCCGGTACGATCCACGCTAGTTGCCAGCGGACTGGACGCGCACTCCGCCTCGGGCAGCGTTCCTACACCGCAGACACCTCTGAGCCCTGCCCGCTCCTCTTGCATACCCGGAATTTCCGTTTTCTTATCTGGTGACATCCCAATAATTGGACCCATTAAATCAAAGAGGTCTGGAGAGAAAGAAAAAAGAAGGTTGTTAATATCAAGCAGCAAAGACAAGACCAAAAAAGGTACATTTAAAAAAAAAAATTACCATCAAAAAAGGAAGACTTCAAAGTAATTTAAAAGCAAAGTTTGCGGTATGAAATAACTCAAAGTGACATTTTGGAAGGATGTGCTCTTCCAAGCGTTGGCCTTGTTTTCTTAAGTTTCCCTGGGGGCACACCCCCTGTTGCTGTCGGCCTCTATTGCAATTCATGGCCCTCTCACTGCCTCTCTCCTCCATCCCTGCCGAGGACCAAGAGGCTCTCAGCCCCCCTCCTCCTCCTCCTCTCGACTCCACGTGAGGACCTTCGAGGACATCCTCTCAAGTAAGTGAACTGACTTAAGGCTCCACTCCTCAACGCCTACCTCGTTTCAAACAAGACCCAGCTGCTCGTTATGTGTAAATGAGCATGAAACCAGCCAGCGACTGCAGGAATAAGTGCAAGGACTCCATCTTACAGATTGGATAGCTCTTACGGACCGAAATACATTCAGCCAGGATCAAGTCTGCATTTGTCGCATGGCATATTAAGTTGTGTAAAGAGGCTACAAGCCTAAGAGTTGTCAGTCATTTAGGAGCACGGGGAAATGCCAGAGCACTCTGTCATTAACAAAATGAACCTGAGTACACTTATCAATACTTTTTAACATGAGCTCTGAAGAGGCCTTTTATCTTAAACACCAGAGTTCCTGTCGCAGTTTAAGTTGAAGCTCGAGTGAGAAATGATTTGGGCTACAGACAAACCTACATTACTGGAAATTTAAACTAAGCATCACATTATCTGAAAATAAATTTTGTCCCCATAAGATACAAGCAGCAGTTTGTGTGCAGTACTTATTGTGATTTGTTATTATGTGAATAATGTTGAATCGAACTGCTTGTTGAGGCCAAGAGCACAAAGAGATCACTCCGCGTGTCAGCTCACAACAAGCTTTATGTCCTGGGTGTCACCATGACAACCCTGCCATCCCTTCAATTAAGAGCAGAAATCCCACAAGCAAGAATCCATAAGAAAAATAATTAACCCACCCTGAGCTGACTCTGGCACATTCAAATCACTGAAAAGAAAGCCTCTGAAAAGAAATGCTTCTACTGAGGTCTACAGCATGTCCCGATTCTGGGAAGGTCTAGGATGTTCTGGATCTGGACTTTGATGGGAATTAGACTGGACGGTCAGAGAGGTAAAGTCGCAGCGTGGTGGTGGATGGGCATGCCTTTTCATTTCTGTGATAAGAACTGGGTCAAACTCATGTGTTTGCACAGTGGCAAAGACAGGAGTGAGAGTGTGCGCGCACACAAACATACACACAAATCAGTTTGTCAAACCCAGTCAGTGTGGACAGGAGGGGGGGAAAGAGGCATTAGTGCATTTACAAAATGACCTTTAAACTCTCAATAAGCGGATAAACCTATAGCAGATGGATACTATTCTGGTTATGGCCCCAATTCTCTCCTTTTGGCCATGACTGTGACCCTCTCTTTTGGGGCTCAAAAGAAGAAAAGTCTAGCCTTCCAAGTGGACATTTGGGG